CCCCCCCCCCCCCCCCCCCCACCAAGGTACAGGGGTTTCAAGGCCTTCTCGGTTGGAGAACTGAGGTGTTAGAAAGCTCAAGGGCTCGCCCCCACAATCCTGAGTACCAACGTTTTCTTTGGATACTGGCCACTTGATACTCCTAAACCCTAAACCCTANNCCCTAAGCCCTATAAGCCCTATAAGCCCTAAACCCTAAACCCTATAAACACTAAACCCTAAACCCTAAACCCGATGCTACACTACAGCCCCGACTCATCCCCCAACCCAAAACCCAAGCTGAACCCTAGACGCTAAATCACGCAACCTGGTCTCGTGCCGCCGAGAGCAACCCCAAGACGCATCCGATCTTCATCGGCATGGCGCCTCCCGATGCTGATCTCTGCCAGGCATGGTTTGGTTGAGGGTTTAGGGTTTAGGGTTTAGGGTTTAACGTTTTTTCTACCATAGGGTCTCAGATTTGAAGGTTCGGGGCTCCGGGTGCTGTGAGGGTTTAGCGCGTTTGGGCTCACGATTTTCAGGATTTCGCAGACAGCATCGACTCGGTTTGTGCGGATGTTCAGCTGGTTCTAGTGTAATAATGTATAATATGCTATACTACACTGTACTGCACTATACTTTACACTTTTCCGTACTGTACCATACCATACTATACTGTACAACACTTATCACATCCTGTCGTATCCTATCCTATGCTATGCCATACGATATACTGTGCTATACTATACGATATAGTATAGTATACCTTGGAAGCTTAGGGGTCTGCAGCGCTGATGGATGTATTTAGACGTCTCATGGGTTTCGGGTTGAGGGTTTTGAGGGCTTTAAGGGCTCAAGGGTGGTTCCGTAAATTGCAAAAGTGGTTTTCGGTCATGTAGCAGACTTGCTGCGTTTGAGGATGTGGGGTGCGTTCCGGGGCTGGTTTGTGAGTATCTTGAGGCCCATAACACGTCTGACACCTGTACCTTAGACCCTAAACCCTGAACCAGGGCTGACCAGCTGGAAGGCCAACACAATATTCAATGAACAGAACGGCACCCTAAATCCGAAATTCACAGCGAATTTCTTCAAGTCCCCCGTGAATTGAGAGAGAGCCCTGGGGCAGAACAGACGGTTTAAGAGGTTGGTAGTTTGGGGTTATGTTGGCTGCGAATGCACATCGCCATAGCCCTGAATCCTAAACCTTGAACCCTGGCCAAATATCGAAACTTCAATCGAACGGGTTCCTTGTGTTCCGTGTTGTCGCTTAGGATCAGGGTCTCTTGCTAAGCCATTACCCAACACTTGACCTCCGAAGTATGATGGAGGTCTAGGGTTCAGGGTTTCGGGTTTAGGGTTTAGGGTTTAGGGTTTCCAGTTTAAAAAGGCACTTGGAGAGACTCCAATATCCCTTAATTCAGGAATATACCTTAGATACAGATCATATTGGGGATCCTACTATAATTTAAGGTATATTCCTTAATTAAGGGATATTGGAGTCTCTGGGTTTCCAGCCTGAAAAAGGCTTCAAGAACCACGGTAATATCCGCTTATAACCCCTGACATACGTAGGCCAGGATATATTTAGACAGGCCAACTTCTTCTCCTCGTGTGGCGGCATCTTCTTATGCCTTGGTCTTCGCCTCACCGTTCGCTGCACTTGGGTTTAGGGTTTAGGGTTTAGGGTTTTCAGGCTTAACAGAGACTCCAATATCCCTTAATTAAGGAACATACCCTAAATCATATGAGGGATCCTCCTATAATTTAAGGTATACTCCTTAATTAAGGGATATTGGAGTCTCGGGGTTTATTGTTTTAAAGTGACGGGTTCGAGTGATGTTCAGGACAGTCTGGTCCTGGGTTGGGGTTTGGCGCGTACCGCTTCGGTTTAGGGCTTAGGGTTTAGGGTTTAGGGTTTAGGGAATGACCACATGATGGTATCGGGGCTTTCGGGGTTGTTGGTTAGGACGGTCATTGAGCTTTTAGGGTTTAGGGTTCAGGGATCAGGGCTTCGGGTTTAGGGCTTTGGGTTGAGGGTTTAGGCCTTTGGGTTCAGTGCCGAGGGTTCAGGGTTGCAAGGGTTCAGGGGTTTAGCAAGGGCTTATGTATCAGGGTGTAGAGTTTCGGGCTACGGCTAATTAAGGGTTCAGACCACGCAAGTCAACACGAGCAGCGAGAGACCATTGTGCATGATTGCAACTCCTGCCGAAACTCGCAAGGGTCCTCCTTGTACTCTGTAAACTCTATCAACACCCTTTGGAAGCTCTACCAACCCTTAAACATCTATGGTAAGTGCACTGTGCCAATCCTAACAAAGCCCTTTACTATCATTTATTTTACAGGATCTCTTGAAACCTCTTAAAAGTGGTATAATCGACAGGACACTCTACGAACCCCACCGAGCTCCATCCTACACCCTCAACCCTAAGCTCCTAAACCCCTAAACCCCTAAACCTGATCACACCTTGTACAGGACAAGGCTGTCGCAGTCATAGGTATTTCCAAACTACTGCCGGCTCTTTCAATCTGTCCGACGACGATAGATACATAAGCTTGCCGGCTGAAGCCTGTTACCGGGAGTGACAACGACTTAGTCGTTAAACGACCTACTCGCCTCCAGCTAATGTATTTCGTGGCACATCTTGCATAAAACACTAAAGCCCTGAACCCCTAAACCCTAAGCCCCTAAAGCCCTAAACCCTAAACCCCTACACCCTAAGTCTTAAACCCTGCATAAACCTTGCCTAAACCATACAATCTTTAGCCCCAAACCCTAAAGGAGCTCAAAACTAGGCTCCCCAGTAGCACCCGTTTTTTTTTTTGGTTTTGGGTTCCCTTAATAAAACCAAATAGTAGGAACAAGGGTACAGGGGCTACTGGGGGTTATAGAAAAAAGAGCCCAGGCGGCAGCGCCTCGGATGGGAAGCTCGGCGCCCTCGGGGCACCGGGAGGCCGCGCTCGCGGCTTTCGGCTTCGGTTTATATAGGTGGCTGAGTACTTTTTGTGGTGATGTGTCTGTGTGTACACACACAAGTTCAGCTGAACTTTTTTGCATCTATACATATACGCATCAATATAAAACTAGAATGCTTTATGAATATGAATATCAACATAAAATACATGATACGTGTAAAGGTATTATATGTATATATGTATATATACATACATACATACATACATACATACATACATACATACATACATACATACACACATACACACATACACACATACACATAAATATACACCCGCATATACTGCGCATACATATACATATATATATATATATACACATGTTTTTCTTTGTGCCTGTCTGTCTGTCTGTCTGTC